CAACAGAAAATCCTGAGTTGGTCTCCAACCCAACCCAATCAACACCTTCCTAAGAAGAGGAAGAGATACTAGGGATACACTGGCATAGGAAAAAATGATTTGAAAGTACAATGGGGAGATGGTTCATTGGCAAACCAAGGAGGAGGAGGAGAAGAAGGAGGAGTGGAGGAGGAGGAGGAGGAGGAGAAGGAGGAGGAGGAGGAGGAGGAGGAGGAGGGAAGAGGAGGAGGGAGAATGTACCTGGCTCCAGAACTGTGAAGAATGTAATCTGATGTTGTTCAAGCCCATTAGTCCATGGTATTTTATTATGTCAGCCTTAACAAACTAATACCAAGAGAAAGAAACTGAAGAGCACTGGATTTTTTATTCTTGTCCAAAGTGACTTTCAGTTTATAGTGTTTTTCCTCCCTTATTAATTCATTTTTGCCACACTTGTGAATTGTTGGTATTTATCCTTGGCTGTCTATATAAGACATTTACCACTTCTTTCTATACAAAGCTTGACATTTTACTTTTTTATCTGTTTTGTACTAAGAGGTACAAGGTATAGGTAAGCTTTTACAATTAAAAATACTTTAAATCAGTTGATCATTGATTTCCGCCCGCGCCCCCTCCCCCATGGGAAGAAGATATATGGCACACCAACCAATTAGAGCCAGTGGATCACGTGCCCACCACTCATCCAATGTTGTCTATTATAATAAAAGGGAAATAATTTGTAAGTCACAATAGAGACTAGTATGATAGGCCTACCCCCTGAGGTAGTGTGTGTGTGTGTGTGTGTGTGTGTGTGTGTGGTGCTGGGATCAAACCCAGCTTACACATGCTAAGGAAGTGCTCTAGCACTGAGCTACAGCTTCCATCCTGATGTGGTGCCATTAATCTAAGCCAAGAAACCAGAGGAGTTATCCAATCTTCATATGGACGAAGACACAGGGATGAAATGAGAAAGAATGTTGTATAAAGAGGAAAAGCTACTATCCTGGTTTTGAGGCAGGGAAGGGTTTGGCTTAATGTAAGAAATGAGCAAATACTGATTTAACTGAATAGAATATGGCACAATGTCATTGCAGCTGAGACAGAAAGAGAGAGAGAGAGAGAGAGAGACAGACAGACAGACAGACCGAGTATGACAGGGCTAAAGTATAGAAGGGCTTGTAGACTCTGGTGAGGAGTGTGACTTGTAAATTAAATGCTACTGGATAAACACTTGAAGCAGGCCAAGAAATAAAAATTTAGTCTTCATAAATGAAAACCATTAAAAAGTATTCTTAGATGTAGATAGATCTTTAAATCACATGCATACAATATTATGGAGCAATTTTAAACTAGTTGGATTATCATCAGTCCACTAAGCAAAAAAATCTTTTGGCAATACAAATGTAAGATTCTCGCACTTGGGAAAACACAAGCAGAATAATTTTAACTTAGTTTTGTGAAATCCGAGGTATAAGCAAGTAACAGCAATTGATCATGACAGCAAATGGTAACAGTCTGGAACCTGTAGCTGTTTTCTCCTCCTTCCTTTACAGAATGGACAGAAATATGCTAGAAGCTTCTGAATGGTATGTAAGAAGGGTATAATTGTGGTTAGAGGCAGAAGTCATGTTTCTTTATAATCTGTGGTCTGCCTGCCATAGATATTCTCTATAAATAAAACCCAGACACACTCAATGAGCTTCAGAAAGTCAAGGGAATTTCACTGTCTTACATTTTGAGATCCCTTCTCTTTTATTGGAGAAGGTGCTTAAGAGTCATGAATGTTTGCTTTGCCTTTCCTTTCTTCTCTTTTTTCCTTCTTTTTCTTTTATGTTCTTCCTTTTCCTTTCTTCCCTCCCTCTTTTCCTCCCTCCCTCCCTTCTCTCCTTTCAGCAGAAACTCTCCACTGAGCTGGAATTTACTTATTTGCTTATCTGACATTGAAGCCAGCAATGGCAGCCTCAGACTCTCAATCTTCCTGCCTTACTTAGCTTACTAAGTGCTGAGATTACAGGCATGCACTACCACATCAGCTACAATCAACTTAACTGTTAGTATATGCTCAAGATATTTGTGAAAAAAATGAAAACATGAAGTTTCAGTCAGTTAAGATGTGTAGGCTGCAGGATAGAAAGTTTTCTAGAAGTCATATGTTGATGCAAGTCTTATTTTAATTATTATTTTTTCAATGCTGGAGAACAAATCCAAGGCCTAGCATACAAGTTAGGCAAGTGTTCTACCACTGAGCTGCACTTTCAGCCCTTGATGTGGGTTTTAGATTCATTTTTTAAACTCAATTCTAATTTTACTTATTTAAAATTTATCTTTAACTAGTTGTGTACAAAGGAGTTTCAATTCAACATGACAATTGATGAGCATAATGCATCACTATCAATGCAGTAATAAAATTCTTTGTACATATGTGGAAAATGGAACAGGTAACTTGGAGGTGGGATGGCATTAGAATAGATCGGGTAGGGGAGAATGGTGGAGAGTTTATAAGAAACAAAGTGGTCATGAAGTTGGATGGGTAAAGGCTAACATTTCTTATTGTCTAGAAGCTGTTTGACTATGGAAGTTCAGGTAAACTTTTTTTGTTTTGTTTTGTTTTTGTTTTTTGTCGGTCATGGGGCTTGAACTCTGGGCCTGAGCACCATCCCTCAGCTCTTTAGCTCAAGGCGAACGCTCTACTACTTGAGCTACAGTGCCACTTCCGGTAAACTTTTTTTTTGTTGTTGTTGTTGTTGTTGTTGGTCATGGGGCCTGAACTCTGGGCCTGGGCACTTCGCTCAGTTCTTCAGCTTAAGGCTAGCACTCTACCACTTGAGCCATTATGCCATTTCTGGCTCTTTCTGCTTATGTGCTGCTGAGGAATCAAACCCAGGGCCTCATGCATGCGAGGCAAGCACTCTACCACTAAGCCACCTACCTTCCCAGCCCTCAGGTAAACTTTTTAAACAATTAACTTATCTGTAAAATGGGAATGGTAGCTATACTCAGTGAGCTAAAGACCACAATAAATCATGCATATAAAGTTTTTGACACAGAATTTAGCAATGGGGCAAGGGCTTTGAAAAAAATAATAGCTATTAAAATTAATTACCATTAACATATTTGGTAATCAGCAATGCCATATATATCACCATAACTGAATGATGATAAAGCATTATCATCTAGTGATGATTAAAGAGGCTGAGAGATATTTCCATTGCTTCTATAATCATGACAGCTGTAAAAAAAATTAAGGTGTAATGGGACATAAAAGAAAGGGAGGGAAAGGAAAGGGAGAGAGGAGAAAATTCAACTTGAAACTTCTGAAGGACAGAAAGAGGCTCTGAGGATTATGGACACTGCTATTCACATGGCGTGCCTCATCCATCGATCAGCCTTCCAATCTTCTTTGTTTTCAAAATACAAATATCTGTCTGGCTTTCATCAGGCACATGGAAGGTGTCTCTTCTGAGACGGTTTTATGGTCTCAAGTGACTATCAAGTCAATATGATTAATCACTTGACTGGGGAAAATGGCTGGCAATGGCAGCAGTAAGCTTTTCTCTTTGGAGGTTTCTTTTTTGCTCTCTTAATTAAGAAAAGGTCAAAGAAGAGTGGCAGAAAGGACTGGGGTGTGCTTAGAATTACTGGGGAGAAATCATAGTCCTAGATCACATCATGCCTCCCAATTGAATCTGTATCCGTTGTATTCTTTCAAGCTTACTGATATATGACGATTATTCTTTATAATATAATATTTAGTTCTATCATACCAGCTATCAGGGAACATTGGGGTATTATATCTGTTGCAAAGATTAACGCAATCTCATAGTTTTGAGATGCTTTTGTGAAAAAGCAGATACTATTGAATGTAGAGGCTCAGGGAATTTGACCAAAGTAGTGGGCTGAGGTCAGCTAAAAACACATTTTTATCTCCTCAAGGAGGGAAAGATAGGATGAAATTAAACCAGTGTGTTGCTTATACGGTTCCCAAAATACAAATTCACATATATGCACTGCATCTGTTATGACAAATAAGTGTTCGCTAGTTCATCAGATCTAAAACTGTCTTAGATGCTAATTTTGCCAACATTGGTCTATGTGTCAGAAAAATCAAAGACAAGGAACTCTGGAGACAGTCAAGGAAAGAACTCTAAAAACAGAGTCCAGCAATACTAGGTGGTGATGGTGAGCACAGATCCACCCAGTGGCCATTGCACATTTGAGGGATACTTTGTGAAATGGAATGGAAAGGTCACCTGCTGTGCTGAAGGTGTAAAGCATTCTCAGGTGAATTTACCCTCTTGGCCCACTTTATAGTTATCACCTTAGAAAACCCATGGGTTCTTAGATCAAGGAAAAGTGGAGCTGCTAAGGGAATTAAAGATTTTAAAGAACTGGGGATGAAGACATTTGTCCAACAGCAGTCTAAAGTACAATGAAGCATATGTAAGTTGGGCATCTAGGGTCTGCCCCTTTCACTCAAATGGCAAATGGACCATTTATTATCAAAAAGTACTTTAACCAGGCACATTTGTGAGTAATAGCATTGTTGGAAGAAAGTTTTTCCCATGGTAATTATTTGTTGAAGCAAGGGTTTCCATTTATGCGCTCATCATACTACTTTCCCTAATTTTCACTTCTATCTTCAATGAAATAAAGCATGGGCTTCTTAAATTGTCAGAGACTTCCACATCCTTGGATGAAGACAAATTTTTGCATTACCATCATGGCATAGGCCTGGCTTAATGGGACCCAAATTCCTTCACCCATCAGAATGCTAATATTTGGCAAAGCACCCATTCATACACACTTTCACCTTAGCTAAGTTGAAAATGAAGGTATGAGTTTTCTGACAAACCAACAGAAGTTTCTAGACTGTCATCACAAAAGACTTAATTGGATTAAGTAAGAAGTGCCTTAGTGACACCTTTGACATGCAGTGACTTTGCTCATTGCTAAAAGGACTTGTCACCCGATCAGACTGCCCCCCTCTCTAAGGACAGTCCAGCAGTAAAACCTCCACTAACCATGATGGGTTGTTCCGGAGCATGTTGACATACAGCCCGATGAGCACATGTTCATCAGCTAGCCTGTCAGCTACATTCAGGCTGTATTGTATCCTGAAACAGGGCAGGAGGAAACAAAGGGTATTAAGAGGGGTGGACAGAAATAAGCAGAGAAGGTAGGAATAAGTCTGTGGTTAAAAAAAAAAAGCATTCAGAAAACCAAGCCAGTTAAGCATAAAGATAAGTGGTGATCTGTGTAAAACATAAGCAAAATCCAAGAAATAAAACTCACAATTTCCTTATACTAACTTCAAAAATAAAGGCTTCTATTTAGGCAGAACAACTTTTTAAAAAACAGCTTTGCATTCTTCACTAAAGCCAAGGTATTTATCTGTATACCAAACATATTGAAATGGGTCTCAAGCAAAGATTAAGTATCTTTTGGGAAAAATCAAATCATCCACTTAGTCATTCAAAAAGAAAAACAAAAGGAAAAAGGAAATGAGGAAAAGTGAATAACTATACAGACGGGTCCACTCAAAATAACTACTCAGTGCTGTTAATTGGGTTATGAGAAAACTGTTTTTACTAAATGAAAGATGGGCTTTCACACACAAAGCATTCATAACAAAAAGCAATTCCTTTTTTAGTTGAGTTAATTTAGGATTCCAGCACACTCTGGCTTTAACTTACCCTTTGCCCTTCAGAAAAGCTGGAACAGCCCTAGCCAGCATTTTGTTCTGCTCTACTTCACTGTCCTTGGGAGGAGGGCTAGTTAATAAGATGGGAAAAGCCAAGAAGAGCGTAAACACGGCAACGCATTCAGGAATAGAAACTGGCAACAGAAACTCCCAAGTCTAGATTCAAGCTTTATCTGGACAAATTTCCTAGTTATTTTGAAATGTTCAAAATGTTTTCAGATTTCCACAGAGTTCAACTTAGGAGTAGAAGCCTGGCCTGAGGACCATAATTACAATTACACGAGCCGCTACATCCCCTCACTTGGCACCTGCTATTTGTTTAATGTGTGAGCATTTATATTACATGGGACTAGACATCACAAAAATTGGTTTAACATTTATTACAAAATATCATGCAAACAGCTTAGAGTTTACTAAGTCCTGCTGGCCTTGAGATACTACTCAGGAAGTTTATTTCTAAGCCTTTCCCCAGTTATCTGTTGGATAAAGACTTGAAAATTACCTAGAAGTGGTTGTTGTGTTAGAAATAAATGTTTTATTAGAGTTCTTGATTATAGCCATTCTAACTGGGGTGAGGCCGTATCTCAGTGTTGTTTTGATTTGCATTTCTTTTATGGTTAGGGAGGTAGAGCATTTCTTCTTGTGTCTATTGGCCATTCTTATTTCCTCTTCAGAGAAGTTTCTCTGTAAGTCTTTAGCCCACTTATTCATTGGGCAGTCGTTTGAGGATTTATTGTTGGGGGATTTAAAAGAACAGACCTCCGGACCAATGGAATAGAATTGAAAACCCAGAAATGAACCCACAGACCTACAGCCATCTAATCTTGGATAAGGGAGCTAAAAAAATAGAATGGAAGAAAGACAGCCTCTGCAGTAAATGGTGCTGGCAAAATTGGTTAATCACTTGTAGAAAACTAAAGCTAGATTCTTATACATCACCCTGCACCAGAATCAACTCCAAATGGATCAAAGACCTCGAAGTCAAAGCAGACACCCTGAAAACATCACAGGACGGAATAGGAGAAATACTAGGTTTCCTTGGCACAGGCCAAAATTTTCTTAATAGAGACCCAGAAACACAACAAATCAAAGAAAGGTTGGACGAATGGGATTGCATGAAATTGCAAAGTTTCTGTATGGTAAAGGACATAGCTAGCAAAATCAATAGAATGCTCACAGATTGGGAGAAGATCTTCACTAGCCATACAACGGACAAGGGTCTCGAGGGATGTGGACAGAAGGAAACCCTACTGCATTGCTGGTGGGAGTGTAAACTTGTTCAACCACTTTGGAAAGTAGTATGAAGGTTCCTCAAAAGACTCCACATACAGCTCCCTTATGACCCAGCAATCCCACTTTTGGGCATTTACCCGAATGATCACAAACAAGACAATACTAAAGCTACCAGCACAACTATGTTTATTGCAGCATTCTTTACCATAGCTAAGATATGGAACCAACCCAGATGTCCCTCAGTAGATAAATGGATCAAGAAAATGTGGTCTATATACACAATGGAATTCTATGCCTCCATCAGAAAGAATGACTTTGCCCCATTTGTTAGCAAATGGAAAGACTTGGGAAAAAAAAATTAAGTTAAGTAAGCCAGGCCCAAGGAAACATAGGTCCCATGTTTTCCCTTATTTGCAATAACTAGTATATGTCTGAGACAAGCAGAAAAGGTCAGATAAGTTGATGTTAGGAGAAGTGAACCCCAAGATAAGGACTCAAATGGTTTTTCTTTCTTGCTATTGTTTCTAACATATTTATATGATGATTTTTTTGTTGCTTTGTATGTCCCTCCCCCACGGTATAACCCCTGCTTTCATTGTATTTGATGTAGGTATAATTTGTGGAGGGGAAGGGAAAAAACAAATTGTTTAGATAGGGATACAGGTGGACCCATTGCAACAATGAAATGTGCAAGACGTTATGTCAAAAAATGAACTTTACAACTTTGGCACGGGGTTGGGGGGAGAGGGCAGGGGAAACAAAGGAAGAGGCAACAATACTTGATAAGAAATGTACTCATTACCTTGCTCATGTAATTGTAACCCTTCTATATGGTATTTTCACAATAAAAAACTTATTAATAAAAAGAAAGAAAGAAATGTTTTACTACCCTGAGCACCAAGTCATCAAAGAAGACTTTCTGAGAAGCAGAGAAATGTCTCCTTTAGGTGTATAAACATGTGTTTGTATTTCTTATATCAATATTAACAAGTTACCAGTAAAGACACTGTCTAATCAATAAGCAAGCCAACATTTTAGATTCCATAGATGGAATATTAATTTTATTCAGCAATTTGTGACAATCCCAAGTTTTGAAATATGATTTTTATTAATATATAAACAGAAATATAAATGATAACAAAGCATGGCTAGGTCCAAGCCACCCAAGAGCTACTGTGATGATAGGTGTGTTTCAATTGGGAAATACATCAATTTTTAAAATTGCAACTGAACTAGAAGTGCATTTAAAGAGAATTGAACCCCTTTGAGGTATGAATTTGGACCACACATTCAGGTACCTAAAACAACTCCCTCTTTATTCATAGAAAAAAAAAAGTTGTCTGACTCTTCAGATGTTTAACTTTTGGTATCTAAATTATGAGGTTTTACAAGGTACTTTCTAGATGCTCTAATATACATGCATTATAAAACAGTTAAAACTATAAAACTTTAACTATAAGTTTTAAGGTTGTACTATGAAGTATCCCTCAGATTGAAATCCTAAAAAGAACATACAAAATTATAAATGAGTACTATAATACTATTATGCACATTATATTCCAATTCTGATTTTAATAGTATATATGAAAGATTCCTTAGATTGTGAAGTCTCTGGTAAATTATGTTAAATGTGACTCATAAAAAAAGCCTACATAGTACAGGCAATCTACTTTAGAGTTGTTGAATATATGGCCTTTTTACTAAGCTCTTTGTTAAAAGGTACAATACATAAACACAGCTGACTGTAAACACAAATTAGAGTAGGGGTATAATGTGATGTTTTGCCATATACATATATATGTAAATATGTATATATACATATACATACCTTATAGAATGATTAAATCAAGTAGTTAATACATCCATCCTCACCACACATGTTTTCTTTGGTGATAACGTTTTAAATCTTTTTACTTAGCTTTTTTGGGGGTCAGTCATGGAGCTGTTTTGTTCAAGGCTAGCACTCTACCACTTTGAACCACAGCTCCACTTCCTGTTTGCTGCTGGTTCATTGGAGATGAGTCTCACAGGGAATTTTCTGCTTGGGCTGGCTTCAAACCATGATCCTCAGATCTCAGCCTCCTGAGCTAGAGTTACAGGTATGAGCCACCAGCATATGGCCTTTTTCAGCAATGAAATACGCACTGTATTATTGTTAACTATACTCACCAGGCCCAGCAATAGTCACTTAAACTTTAAAAACAATAAATTAATGTTCTGAGAGGACCTACTTTCTTGATAGCTTTAAAGATGTTCATCAGTGTACCAATCTTCATCTTCTAAGATCATGAAACCTGTCCATCATGGCCAATCACCACCTGAAGCTGTCATAGATGCTTTTCTGTGTGGTGTTCTAACCTCTCTGCTCTAGCAATTCTCCCTACATTCACTAGTCTGCTGTCCAATATCCTCACAAATTCTTTTTTTCTAACTTAAGGTATATGTATTTATTGCACAATTAATTTCAGATGCTTGCAAAACCTCCCCAAACGGCGTGAAAGAGCCGTAATTCTCTCTCCAAACTAAATGATTTCTCTGCCTTTTTGTGCTTCTTGGCTTGTTCAATATCAGAAATTATAGTGATGTTTCCTAAATCTGAAAGCCTAGTAATTATCCAGGTACATCAAACCTACTCATGCAGAATGTGAAAGTAAAAAGAAAGATTCAGAGTAAAGAAAGGAAAACATTTGATGGAGGAAGTTGATGTGTTAGACTAAGAAATGCCATTCCCAGCACACAAGCAGAGATTCCCTAATAATAGCAGTAGGGGAAGACTGGAATGAAGGAAGAAATTCACTAGATTTTTCGTTTAGTGGTCTGATCCTTTATTTTTTCTCTAATTCTTGGGGCTCTCTTTCTGTTCCTTGCTTTGCTCCATTTTCTTATCTTTCCCCTTCTTTTTACTCCTTCTTTCCAAGTTCCAGCCCTCATGAAAGTGATGAGTAGATTTTACAAACACACACACACACACAGAGTATGGAGATGGGGCTTTACGCCATGTGTGTTTATAAGTTTCCGCAAATAAATCATATTGTTTTGCTTTGATTTTTGACACTATACTCACTGTCCAGATTCTTTCTATACTTTCAAGAGCCTGTCTTAAGTTCTCATTTTTGTCACTTGCTTTTGGAAAGCCAAAAAGAAGACCTTGAGTAGAATACAACCGAAAAAAGGGGAAAACAAGTCTTTCAAAACCAAGTGAGTCAAGAACTTTTAATGGACTGAGAAGCAGGTTTTACTGAACACCTAAGTGTTTAAAGTTCTTTTTACCAACATGTCTTCTGCAGTTCCCAAAGAACTCAAAGAAAGGAAGCCATGTCAACATCCTTTTCCCTGAGTTGTGAAAACAGTGAGAACATTTAGGATTCCTTGAAATCAGTGTAATCCCACAATATTTTATGCAATACATTAGATGACTAAACCTTCATTTTGTTGCCCGGTGGTTTGCATGAAGGAATTACATAATCCTCCTCATTGTCTGGGGGCCTTACCCTAAACACTTGGATCCCATTTCCTTTCTTAGGATTGAGCCCTTGCTGCTTATTAATGTATCAGAATGCAACATCGACTTGGGATTGTTGATCTGTCTTTTCTAAATTGAGTCTCAGGGAAAAGCAAGACCCCCACATTGTACATATACACATCTCAGTTTTATTATGCAAGGCCTTCACCAAGACAGAAGCTCATTCCTCCACCCACACATTTTAATTGTTGTGTACTATTGAGGATCTGATAGGGAAGGCTGGTAGCTACGTCTTCTTCTGAAAGCAAAAAAGCCAAAGGATATTCCTTTAAAATTCTTTCCCACACGTTTCTCAATTTTCTCACCAAATCCTATAAAAACCTCTGAAATGTAGCATGTATAGTGTAAACAGCTTTCCAATAATATTCAGGCATGCACACACATCCACGCACACATTCACAATGACAATGACACAATGGGTTCTGGAAGGAGAGGATACTTTCCATGTATTTGGAAAAATCTTTCCTTAGTTTTGAAGTACAACAACCAAAAATAATTTACAAGTACTGCTCCACTGACGAAAATTAGTTTTGGAGAAGTACCTAGTAGGCTGTGAGCCTTCCTCATAGGTACTACAAAGCAAATACAGTGTTTGTAATGCAAGTGTTTTATGGAGAAGCACTAGGAAATTGAATGCTGGATTATGTTCAACACACTGTAGGAATTATAAGCAGTTTTGTAACATCTAGTAGAATGTTACTACATCTAATATGGTAAGTACTATCTATAATAACCAAAGTGAGTGGCGACCATGTAACTATAAAAGTACTTCTGAAACTTTTAGATGATGTTTCTAATATTGGAGATAAAATAAACTAGTCGGGGCTGGGAAGGTGGCTCAGTGGTAGAGCGCTTGCCTTGCATGCTCAAGGACCTGGGTTCGATTCCTCAGCACCACATAAGCAAAAAGAAAAAAGCCGGAAGTGGCGCTGTGGCTCAAGTGTTAGAGCGCTAGCCTTGAGCTGAAGAGCTGAGGGACAGTGCCCAGGCCCAGAGTTCAGGTCCCACGGCCAGACCCCTCCCCCCCCAAAAAAAAAGAAAAAAATAAAACAAACTAGTCATCCAATCTTTCAGGGTCCTTATTGTAGCCAATGAAGAATAAGGGCCATAATTAAAACAATTCAGTAACCATTGGAAAAGGACTAGTTAACCGCTCTAAAGTAAGAGAGAGTTTTGACAAGATAATTAGGATTTCATGAAGGAAGCATGGTACAAACAACAGCATCAACAGTAAAAGCAGTTCTTGAAAGCACAATGCTGTGGACAGTGAATAGAGAAATGGCCTTTGAGCCTGTAAGGTCAGTCCTTACTGTAATATTTGTAATAAGACTGTGGTGTCTTTCATGAGCTTAGACACAGTAGTGCTGGTCTGGCATATTTAGCTCTTGGAGCCCTTTTTCTAGTGAGGGTGATACACTGATATTGGCCCGGCCATTCTTTCCTATATATTTGCAAGACAAGAATCTAGGGATATAGTTTATAATAAAAAAAGAAATAAGACAATTGAATTAGGTAATTTGATGCCCAGCCTAGTCAGAACTGAATGAACAAGTGCATGTGACACGAGACACTGACACTTGCATGCACACCCACCCATGCACACCCACATGCACATACAACATTTCAAAAATCTAAGGAAGATGGCATTGGAGAATCCCTCTTATTAAGTAATGGGAAAGTGAACCAAGTCTACAGTGGGAAAAGGATCTAAGAACAGGGCGGTGACAGAAGCTGTGGTAACCAAAGGTACACACTCATAAATCTGCATGAGGTAGATTAGGAGAAAGTCTTGACTTCAAAGCTATGCCCTAGTGCCCTTTGAAGATCAAAGTGGTGGGCTTGCGAAGCGGGTAGCAGAGTAAGGTTAGGAACTGTAGTGACGATTTTTGCAGTGGTGATTCACGTCCCTCCTTACTCTGCTCTATTTTTCTCAGATGCCTAAACTTTCCAAATCACTACTCAGGCTACACAAAATATCTGCAGGGTAGGCTTCCCTGCTCTCTCAATGCTGTGCTTACTGACCAGTATAATCCTTGGCCCATAGGGTTTAAATTTTTTTTTTTTAAACTGCCAGTCTAGGACTGAGGCCAGAGCTCTTGGTCATATCTCTTTGGTTTAGTTCTAATTATAGAGAGAACAGGGCCTTTAACTTAGGCTTTTTATCTGTCTTAATGGGTTTGCATCAACCTTAGAGTACCAATGTGGTTAGCAAGAAGAAGTGAATCACCAGGAGCATTAGCAAGTGAGACAAATGAAGACCAGAGAACAACAAGCTGGATCTGAAAGGGTTACATCAGAAGGAATAAGACTGTCTTTCTTGGGAAGGAAAATCAGGTAGCAAGGGATGGCTCTGACTCAGTAGGACAGGAAGGGTACAAGGCCTGTTAAGCCCTCAAGTTCTTACCTGGATTAAGGTCAGTCACAACCTATTGTCCTTGCCTCGCCAGTTAGAACTAAAGACCATTCTGACAGCCCCCTTAATTCGAGAGTCTTAAAATCACCAAGTAAGGTCTTGCAGATGGTACAAAAATCAGATGCTTGTCCAAACAAGACCCATCACGGCCACTTTCATATTTATTCCCTTGGCAGGTACTGTTCTAAAGCTGTGGACTTAATACAAACAAGTGAGAAAGAGAGGAAAGAGCTGAGAAGTCTAGCTTATTAAACAGAATCTCATCTATCCCCACCCCACCCCAGACTTTCATCTCTACCAGGACAAGGATTTTAATGCTGGCATAGACTGTCTAGCCATCTAGCTATGGAACGACTACTGCCGTTAGGGATTCAGACCACGATACTGGCCATTAGATTCTGACCATGCACCCTGGCCACGCTGATTTGCATACAGTTTATGGACAAATGCTCTCCAACCACAGGGCTGGGTGCACTTATTCCCTCAAATAACCTGTGGGGTACAAATGATGAGACCCCATTAAAACCTCCCATGGACAGAGCAAGGTCCACTCAGCGAGGAAAGATATTCAGTTTTATTGAACAGCACCCTTAAAACAGAAACTGGAGTCCAATCTCCATGGTGATAGGAAGAAACTCAAGTTTGAACCACACATCTGTGGTTCACAGATAGCATGCCAAAAGGACTGAAAATGCGAAGAAAGGGGAAACAATCATATTTTGAATTAACGGGTACCATGAACCCTGGAGGAAGCAGAACAGCTGAAAGTATTAGAGGGATATTTAGGGTAGAGGAAGTCATGTTATCCATCTAGACGCATCCACCAAAAGCACCGTCAGAGCTGAAATGATATAAAATGACCTTCAGTAAGGATGGGGTCTGTCTCTGCTTGGCATTTGTAGAATGTAGAACTCCCTACTAAAGATATACATCTCTGTAATGATCATATTGTATCCTCTCTAGACAGATGCCCAAACCTGCATCTCTTACAGAATTGATTCTTTATGATTTTCCTTTAGGAAAGAAGGTGGAATTTGCTGGTGGTTCTAAAAGGGATGCTAATAAGAAGTTGTTGACGGTCTAAATCATATTGTTTCACTGTGGTACCCTGCAGGACCGCTGTCTCCTCATTCCCACTCCTTACACACTTAATTTATACACCCAAAACAGCATGTCCTGCCACATTCTCCTTATTCTACTTCTTACAATTACTGGGGACATCTTTGTTGCAGCTTTCTGTTGGGAGGAATCCAGGAACACAGGAAGATAATTAGCAATGCACTCAGCCTGGCTGTCTTCTCATCCTCTCTAGAACGTATGAGGATTTTATAGGAAACTTGGCACCTTATCAACAGTCTCAGAGACAGGTGGATTATGTGCATTTTACAAAATATGAGGGTGTTTTTCATTTCTGTTGAAAGGTAGTCAAGACCTTCCTATGTTCAATTACTCACTCCAATTTTCCTTATCTTTGTTCCTGCTTTCCTGTGATGCTGCTCTATGTGTTTATGAAATAATTTGCTGGTGCTTGTTTTGTGATAGTTGCTCAAATGACTCAGAGTATTTCTTGGGCCCTGTGTGTTCCCAGTACTAACTGTTAGATATGTGAACTTCTGTTGCTTGGTCACAAGGGATTCAAATTGCAAAAAGATGAGACATATATCCACCCTTTAAAAAGATACAACATATATTCTTCAATGTTTTATAGATATATTTAAAAGTTCTATATTTAAATAATATATACAATGTATATATGACGTCTCATTATTATCCAGGCACTCATTTACATGGAAACTACATTTCTAAGTTTGTGCTTCAGCCTGTACCCTCAGAAAGTCCATGATTTACCAAAAAACAAAAACAAAACAGAACAGGATTCTTTTATATCTACTGCCTGAAATAGTGAGATCTTTCAGAATCTGTATAATGAAATACCACTCTCTCTTGAAATTCTATTTCTCTTGCTTCATTGACCACTCCCAATGCTAGGAATGTGGCTTGTGTAGTGAGGCAGAATACACATATGTCAGTAGTAAAACTAAAGCACTCCCCCCATTTTTAATGTGAGGGATCATAAATGCAGGTTGCCAGAAGTGACATTAACCAAAGCCTTCTCTACCTGCATTCAAATGGGAGAAATTTAAAGCATGTGATAGATACTAGCAAACTTGTTTCCAGTAATAGTCTTCTACATTTGGTATACAATAAAATGCATTGTTTTTTCTTGTCACAGAATCAAGACTCATTCACAATGGGACATATCTTACTCCATGCTTTGTAGCTGATTTGGAACTTACCTCCTGGTGATAAAAGGACTTCCTGAGGAGGGCACAGAGTGGGAGAACAGCGTGTCATTCATGCTGGTTACAGGTCTGGGAGGCCTAAAACAAAGTAAGTACAGTGTGTGTGGAAAGTTAAAGCAAAGGAAAGACACAAATTAAAAACGACCTATCATATCTTGAGGAAAAAGGATAGGAAGAGCAGACCCAGAATCCCCTTACCCAGGATCAATGTGAAAGTGTATATACTCTTGTAAAGTTACATTTCCTCAAGAATAGAGAGGCTTACTTAGACACTGGAGGAAAAGCTCTGGAGAACATGAGAATATTGATCTAGGAATGCTGAGTCTCGGTGTTTCTTGAGTCAGGTTTTTGAATGGATAAAGGATTTTGAAGAAGATGATATCCTTATTTCTATTATATTCTAAAGGGAAAAGTTTGGCAAACAAGATTTTCAAAATCTACATGGTTTGGCAAAGGGAGGATTTCTTCAGAACTCCCTCTGTGTAAACAGAATGGTGGTACTCTAACATTTCTGCAAGGACACAGCACAAAGACAGAGGCTGGAACACTATCTTGCCTTATTGCTCTTTGTTCTCAGTGAAGATGCAAGGAAGCAGTATATTTCTACTATTTGGTTGAATATATGACATAAGGCAATGTACAAACTTCACTTCGTTCATATGAGATTGCCATATGTATCCATTGCATTGTGTCTGACCCCCCCAGTCTTCATTTCATCTTCTCAAACTTCACTTCATTCTGAATATCCTAGTTTAGATAAAACTAGAGAGCCAAGATCCCTACGTATCTCATCTTCAAGCAGTGTTCAGTTTTAGGTTCAATGGAAGATTCAGAAAGGTCTGATAGAGAAATTAGAGTTCAGAAGAGGAAGGACAAGACAGAGCATCATCCTGCATCAGAGAAAATGTTAGTTTCACTGTGATTCTGTTGAAAATGTTCCAATCTTGGTTTATCTCTAGGAAATCAGAAATTAAGTGGGTTTGAAATGCTTTCCAGCTGCATTGGGAATTTTCTCTATTGAACCTGACCACTGCAAAGCTGAAATGGAGGTATCTTAGCAAATGGCTTCGTGTTGAATTTGGGCCACAAAATGACTATTCTTGGCACCCAATACTAGCTTTCTCCATAATCAAATGGCAAGTCACCTTGTCTAATCAAATAGGCTACTTTAGAGATACTAAACATATTTACTCTAACAAAAAGAAACAGCTCTAGGAGACTCAGTCACAAGAGCCTAGTATGGAGTTTTCTTTCTGGATCAGATCTTTCTTTCTGGACTGGAAATCACTAAACCATAAAATAAAATTTTCATCACTTCTTACAGGCTGAAAAAGTTAAGTTCAAGACAGAATAGTTTTAACTAGCCTCATATTGTGTGTCTCAGATCAGTTATACTTATGATTCTGTTTTATAAGTACGTGGGGGACTATTGAACTACTTACCAAGTATCACTTTTGGCAGCAAAAAACAAAAATGAACAGAGTAGAGACTGTTGTTAATCATGGCAACATTTAGAAGCAATACAATAATGAAGAACAAATGCCAACATACAAAAATGTCACCACCTGCTTATTCCTATTTAAGGAATCATTCATGAGTAGCAGTACCTTCAATGCTTGTACATAAAATCCCCTGGCTCTAGTAAGTTCTGTGTCACATGATTCATTTCCATATGCAAATCGGTGTAAGTGTCTGAGATAGTACCACAACCTGTCTCTTTTTACGAAATCTAAGACTTCTTGGAAAATGTTAGTTTAATTATGCAGCCAGCCAGCCATTTTCTTTTCTTTTCGTTGCCATTTTTTTCACACTAAATACTTGGAACTGGAGTCTTACACAATACAAATATTTTCTGATTTATTATGCACCGATCAAGCATGAGCTATACATCTTTGTCTCAATTTATACCTTTTTCCCTTATAAGGATTTTCCCCACTGATTAGATTGGACATATGTACTGGAGAACTCATATCAATTTTTTAATACAACCACAAACCCAGTGAGACATATGTGTTTAAAAAGATTGTATCATTTTCAGCATCTCATTCCAAACACACGGGCTGCATAATGTTAACTATATTTCAGCACTGCATAAGGACTTGCAATTACCCTTCAGGTAAACATGTGAAACATGTGACTCCTTTCTGAACAGCATCTTTGAAGAATTTGCACTAATTTGCAAGTTGTCTCTCTCCCTACTTCTCTCCCCACTTCTTTCCCCTCTCCCTCCTGAGCACATAATAAGGAAAGGTCATGTAAGGATATATCTAGAGGCTGACCATCTGCAAATACAATTTTAAAAATGGTGAAATAGCTTAGGATAAAAGGACTTGCGGTAGAATGTCATGTATTTTTATAAAATATATGAAAATTATACCTACATACATTGGGAAGAGGTGAAAATATTCATTAATTTCAAGTACTTGGCCAATATAGCAGACTAAAAGGAGCTTCTTTGTCAAAGATTAAAACATACATTATTTATATTGTCATTTAAGAGGCATTTATTTATGTCCTAAGAATAGCCTACAAAGGGTAAATTAGAAGCATGGCTTCAAATTGAAAGTCTTAGACTACCCTTTGTCTCTTTCCCCAATAATGGCTTCCATACCTGCTAAAAAATACAGGTAAAACTTCTGTACCTACAAACAGAAAAGAAACTCTGTTCTAATACAGACTGGACATTCTTCATCCAGAATTTCTTGACTGTTGTTTTAATAAATATGTCAGATCATTTTTATTATGATCAAAACATTTGCCCTGGCAGATTGTATAGATCATTTTGATTGAAAACTCCTTGGAGAGGCTGGCTAAACATACAGCAATTTTCTTTCAAGAAAAGGCAGATATTATATACAGAATCCTGAAATATCTCCATGGAACACAAATGAAGGCTCTATTATGGGGACTCAGGGAGTCCTCCAGGGTTAGAGCATCCATTGAGCAAGCACAAGCCCTGGATTCATTTGCTGCACCCCTCAGCTTATTGTGGAAATAAATATTGCTTTTGGTTAACTCAGTTCATAATGCATAAGAGATCATATTTCCCTAATAAATTAAATTGTATAAAGTTTTTACTTAGCCAATTAAACAGCATATACATACTCACTGAAATTTACTTTTATTACATATAGACTCACACACACAGACTCAAACACACAGAAACTGACTTTTATTCACAGTGCCTCCTTTCCTAAATCCTTCTAGAAGAGGGGAGCAGCATTCTTATTCTGTCTACTTCAATACCATTGGCACATAGCCGCTCTTATCCACGCTGTTTCTGCCCAGCAACTTAGACTTGAGGCTGCCTTTATATGTAACTCTTACTGGGATGGTAGGAAGTGACTGGGCAGAACTTTCACAGTAGAGACTTACTCTCATTCTTTCTTTTCCTTTGCTACCAAGTTAATGACTGTCTCTAGTAGACTATGTGAAAAAAAGCGGAGACCTCATTACCAACAGCTCCTGTGAAGCAATTTCTGTGAATTGTTGACCCTTTAGGATATTCCCTAGATTTACTTGTTTATTTTCAGGAACATTATTTCCTGTTAAGGAAATGAGTTAATCGCATCCTATAGAATTGATTTTTACATTATTTTCCGGATGTTTGGCCTAGGCCAGCATGTCACTTGAGATAGGAATGCTGTTTTCTGTGCCTTATTGACAGGGTCAGGAATACCTTAAAGCACACACAGGAGCAATGAACACACGGCCCTGTAGTATTTAAACAAAGCACACAGATGAGATGCAAACCCAATGATGTGATGGTATTTGCTCAGACCCATCAGGGGAAAGAATTACTACTTCTATCTGGGTTTCATATCACCACGGTGCCTGTTAAGAGACTGTGTTTTGTTCTCCCTATTATATGAACTTCGAATCTGTGAATTACTGATATTGGAAACTCATCAGCTCATACATGTAAAAATATGGTGTTACACATTGGTGGGTCCCAATAAAATAGGGGGGAAGAAAAGATGGTTCTTAAAGGAGGAATGAAAGGAAGCACCCATACCAGAGGCTTGTAGAGAACTTGTGATGGTATTTTTCCTAACTGTACTGTAATCAGCTTCACTTTTGTTTGAGCCCAAATTCACACTAAAGGAGAGGACATTTCTTCTCCCCAAACCTTTTGCTGTCTTGGTGAGGTCTGAGACAGGTCTAGGGCTCAACGATGGTAGGAAATGGCAGGTTGATAATTGTACCATTCACTTGTCCAGCCTTTCTATCCACCAAATGCACACATAGAGAAGTTTTTGATCTCCTTCTTCAACTTTCCTATTTATAGACTATACATTTTTAGAAGATAGGAATCCAGGCACTAAAAAACTCAAAAGCAGTATGTAGATTAGCTGGCATCATTACCATGACTGACTATGCTGAGAAATGAAACAAATGGTTGTTAAAATTTGAGCTGAAAGTACATACAATACTAACATACATTATGCGATTACTTTTTTAAACAATGGTAATTCCATTGATGGTTTACTTCCATCTATGCAAATTCTACTAACATTCATATTTTATAACTTTTTGAAATTTTTGAATAAGCTTTTCGAATATTTTCTATCTCTTGGTGAATTCTGTTAGTGTTTTACTTTATAAGTAAAGGTAGAAAGACTGAGGGAAAAATGACAATCGTATTGCTTTATTTTAAAAAAATAAAACTAAAAACGTGGTCTCTGACAAGTTATGTGAAATTGTCTTGTATGAATTGCTTGGGACATGTGTCAGGGAAAAAAGATGTATCTTCCTTTTGGTATGGAGATACTCACACGATGTGAGCCAAGTTGAGCGGTTTCTCAGGTTGGTCTGGAAACATGGGGTGCAAAGGTTCACGGCTGGAAGCGCAACTCAGGGACTTGCTTAATGCATTCGTTAACTTCTTAGCAGGTGATTTCTGGGAAGAAAAAGAATAGGTAGATGTGATAACAGCTAATTGTATTGTGATAATCTACCAGATGATTTACTTTTTTCTTTTTTAAAACAGCTATTCACTCATTCGACAACTCCTTTTCTAGCATATACATACTCTAAGTCAGGAAGTTTGCTCAAGGCTGGGGCCAGGAAACCTATCTCCTTCATTTAGTGTCACCAACTGTGAAAAACAAAAACAGCCATTGTACATGGGACACTTAACCTGGGACTTAATGGGCCACTAGAATCCTTCTGACAGAAACCAAGGGTACTGAGTTCTAGTCACTTGGGGAAGTAATTTCAGATGGGAGAAACAGAAACTGCTGAGGGAGGAATAGAGAGGAGATCTTGTTCTGGAAATGAAAGTGGGAGAAAGGTCACCAAAGTCCTTATATGACAGGGCAGGGTTGGCAAAAAAGACACAATCTGGATGTTTAAATCACAGGAATGACAAGATGAGGCCTAGTTCTGGATGGACTGGCTTGGGTAGAGGGATGTTCAGAAGCAAAGAGAGGATCAGAAGGATTTACAGAAATCCAACAATCCAAGAGGTCTCTGGTGTATCCCAATACATCCCATTAGAAGTAAAACTGGAACTTCAAACTTCATCTTTCGAGTCTGAAATCCACATCCTTTGCAGCATGTCATACTACTGCTTTTCTTTGTTGCTGTTATATATCTTCATAGGATAACATCAAAATTGAAAGAATAGAATAATATCAGATTAATACATCTAAATAGTGAATATATATTTTCCTCTCCATTAAGTAGAAGTGTACATAGCCAGACACCGGTGATCCATGTCTGTAATCCTAGCTACTCAGGAGACTGAGATCTGAGGATCACGGTTCAAAGCCAGCCCAGGCAGGAAAGTCCATGAGACTCTTATCTCTAATTAACTACTAGAAAACTGGAAGTGGCACTGTGGCTCAAGTGGTAGAGTGCTAGCCTTGAGCTGAAGAGCTCAGGGACAATGCCCATGCTCTCTCATGTCAAGCTCCACAACCGACCAAAAACAATAAAGAAAGCAGTGTATAATTTTGTCATTACCTTTTATGCCTGGGGTTCATACTTGGTATTATAATAACTTTTGTCCTTGTTGTTTAAAAGCTTTGAAATAGGAGCCTGTTTAAGACGTCCCCTTGGGGAGCTGAGGGCATGACTCAAGTGGTAAAGCAGTTGCCTAACATGTGTGAGGCCCTGAGTTCAATCCCCAGTACTACCAAACACAACAAAACCACCATCACCACCAAAAGCAAAAATTCAAACCAACAAATAAAAAATCCTAATTCCCCTTTGGCTACTGTTAGGAAGTGTAATTCTTGTGACATTTTAATCAGCAGCAGCAACAGTGCCTTACTCTGAAACTACTAAGCCCCTTTGTCCTCTTGCAGAGTCTAACTCAACTTTGTAAAGACATCCTCCTGTTATGGGCTTTTAGAACTCACACTCCTTAGGTGAATTCAGTGTTTGAACAGATCAACTAAAGATGATTAATCAGCATCAATCTTCCTCCGTCTCTTTTCTCCTCCTCCCTCCCTTTGGGCACCAGGCTCTCACTGTGTAGCCCATCCATATTGGCCTCACGATCTTCTGGCCTCTGCTTCTAGACTGCTGGGATAATAACCCTGAACCATGATGTCTAGATTTTTTTTAAAGGACACTAAGTATCCCTTTAAATAAAGGCTACAGGTTGAATTGAAATAACAATACACTTAACAAAAAGCCATAACAACTTTATATTTTCATGTGCTAGAATTATCTTAAGATGAGCTGACAGGCATTGGTGGTTCACACCTGTAATCCAAGCTATTCAGGAGGCTGAGATTGGAGAATCACAGTTCACAGCCAGCCTGAGCAGGAACGTCTGTGAGACTTGTCTCCAATTAACCACCAGAAAAGCAGAAATGAAGCAGTGGTTCAAAGCAGTAGAATATCAGCCTTGAACAAAAAGCTCAGGGACAGCCCCCAGGCTTTGAGTTCAGGCCCCGTGACCGAGAACAACAAAATACCAACAATAACAACAGCAACAACTACTACTACTACTAAACCAAATCCCTGCACAGAACAGTAGTTGAACAAATGTGTAAGAGCTACATTGCTAGGACTTGTCTTTGAGTTTAATGAGGTCAGAAAGTCACAAACTACTGAAAGCACAAATACACCAAGATCAGATTCCTTCTTTTTTCTTTGATTTTTTTATTGAGAAAATATCATACAACGGGGGTTACAATTACATGAGCAAGATAGTGAGTGCATTTCTTATCAAGCATTGCTGCCTCCTCCTTTGTTTCCCCTTCCCATCCCTTCCCATCTCCACCCTCACCTTGCACCAAAGTTGTAAAGTTCGTTTTTTAACATAACCTCTTGTACATCTCATTGTTGCAACTGGTCTACCTGTATCCCTATTTAAACAATTTGTTTTTTTTCTCTTCCCCTCAACAAATTATACCAACATCAAATACAGTGAAAGCAGGGGTTATACTGTGGTGGAGGGGCATACAAAGCAACAAAGAAATCATCTTATAAATATGTTAGAAACAATAGCAAGAAAGAAAAACCATTTGAGTCCTTATCTTAGGGGTACTCCTGGGCAAATGTCTATCAACTTTATCAAGTTGATTACATGCTGTTCACAAAAAGACAATTTGCTAATATGACCACAATTCCTCCTCTTCATTCTCTGAAATAAGTATAACAGAACTCTTACACTTCTGTCCTTAGTATGTCAGCCATACTTTTACAAGAATTCAAGGATCTGTGAAAAATGAAACAATATTTCCAGCAACTTCCACAACAAAACAAAACTTGGAAAATTCCTTAACTTACTGTGAAAATAAGCCTATGTACCCAAAGCTGTTGTGGTTCATTATTTAAGTCAATACAGACTGGTCTATGTTTCAAGCACAGTTTTAATCTTCCTATATTTTAAGTCTCAGGAAGCTACTTTGAACTCAGGTGGTACAAGTAAGGGATCCAAATGGATGGAAGATGACAGGGAAGACATGTTAGACTCAGAGTAAAAGTGAAGTTTGTCCCTTAATTGTCACCATCCTTGAAACTCCCTTTCACTGGGGACAACAGTCACACACCCAATTTTAAATATTACCCAGCGTTACTTACCCATGATGTGTACTCTTTCATTTGGTGCTGGTTGCTATGGGAACCTCCTGCATGCCCCCTCCAGAAGCAGTCCTGACAGAGCTGGTAATTGTGACATTGTTGGCATCGGTAGCGAAATCCCATCATACTTTCACTGTGGCAGTAAGAACACTCAACTGGGTGGAAGACTAGAACATGGAAAAACAAAACAAGAAAACAAAGTATGAGCCAGAAGAAGGAAAAAGGCAGCCTAGAAAGAACTAGAGCTTTCTGCTATGTTCTATGAATTCAAACCATAGACAATTTTGGCCTAGAGAAGCCTTTAGTTTGTTCCTGGAACCTCACCAGCATGTCTTTTCCAGCATGCACATCAGGATGAAAGAAATGAAACAGGATGGGGAATAGGTGTGCTTTTAACAGCACATATCTCTGTAAGGTCACTTGGTAATTCAGCTCCCACTACAAGAATATAAGTTATCTAACTTGACTTGCCTTTCCTTCAAATGCATTCTCTCTCTTGGACCAGCACTGGTCACTAAAGACTCAGAAGCATGATGGAAGAGTTATCCAGAGTAAATTTGAATACAATGTAAAAATGTCAGGAAGATGCAGAGAAACTGGATGAGAGAATTGAAATATCATTATTTAAAGTGGAGTGGCTATAGTTTATTTAATGAGTAACTCTGGTTTCATCTCACCTCTATGCTTTTTTTTTTTCTTTTCTGAAGCAGATGGATGGGGCCCTAAAATATATGTATATCATCTGAACACTGTTCTAATCCAGAGAGTTCTGGCACACAATTTTCTTCAGCAAAACATTAAGATTATAAAGCAGGCAAGGTAAAACATTTGATATTGGAAGCTAATAGGTGAACAGGCAGTTTTGCATGTTGTGAGCTAAAGATTGTAAAACAATTACTATAACCATTCTTGCCTTTGGTAAAATTCAGGAAAAATAATGTGACTGAGAGTCCATGGAGTTAAGAAAGCAAGTGTAAAAGCAAGATCACAGCTGGTTCTGGTGCATTGTCTACTGAACAAGCACAGCAAATTCTCCTTCTTGGCCATTGATGAAGACAAGGCTGGAACACCATCTTCCACAACTGGAAATTCCAAGAGAGCAGGAATGCAATTATGGCTTTCTGACTCGAGAATGACTAGTCCTGGACTGGTAGACAGCAGTCAAAAGCCATGTAACACATCCTGTTCATCTACATTGCACATTGTTTTTGCATATGGATAAGAAATATTTTTTTAAAAGCCTGTGGCTATTAGTAGCTGTGAAGAAACCAGTTAATCCATTCTTTCAATTGTGTTCATTAGCCAAACAGGACACAGTCAAAACTCTGAATTAAGAGAGACAATAAAGGTAGAAGATTTCTAAATGAGTTCAAAGTGAAACAAACTTGAGTCTTAGTGTACAGTAAAGACATCTTAGATCCTAAAATTCTAATAAGAGACATATGATAAAATATTTTTTTTAATTCAAGTCCTAGTTTTGTCATGGTCCTATAAGACTTTATTAACAGGTGGGAGACAGGTTAGATCTATCCTCAGCAAAATAAGAACCACAAATTAGACTTCCCTCAAACTCTGATATGGATTTCATATCTGCAGATACTGCGGTCTAATTTTAATAATTCAAAAACTGCCTTTACTGACTAGCAACTACTCACCATTTTCAACATTTGCCAGACGGTGCAGGAGAGGCAACCAGACCAGACACTGTGGGGGAGGGTCTGACATCAGTGTGTCTAAGAAACCATTCAATGTGACTTTTTTCTGAAAAAAAAAAAAAAAAAGAAGAATCATTACAAAAATTTAGGACAGTCTCACCAAAAACAAAACAAAATTCTGACCCTTAAGAGAATGTCAGTAATTCTTTTAAAGTTTTGTTTTTTTAAATAGCACTAAAATTTAAAAAAAAATCTTTTTTTATAAAGCCTTCCTCACACTTCAATCTGCTTCTAACTATTCATCTTGATGCTTTCTGATATAGAAAGGGAATGTGTTATGTTTCTTTTTAAAATGACCAAAATAAGTGTTACATTTAATGTATGCATCATATCAGTATAAATAACAAAAATTACATGTTCAGATGTAGAAATCACTACTTTAATTGAACTAGAGCATCAAAGTGGATGGATAGACTGCCATGCCTGGCTCGTGACTTTTATTTTGAAATGTATAAATAACCTCATCATTAAGGTTATATGCATGATGATGTAAGGGGACAGTCTATAGGATATTGGAGAAAAGAGGGTTTAACACAATAACAAACTTCTTTTTTGAATGTACAGATTCATTAAATTAAAAGAAAATCAAGGCAGAGAGAAAAATACTGAATGAGGTCACCATATGGACGCTAAGCAGTGGCTTTGAGAGAAGATCGTAGAACAATGGTTCTCAGGGGCTGGAAGGGGAGGGAGGAGGAGAGATAATGGGTGTCAAACTTAGGTAGAGAGAACACAAATTTCATAGAGAAGTTTCTGAAAGAGTAACACGTTGGGGCAGGAATGCGTAAGAAGATAGCGTACTTGGGCATGGGGGAGCAAGAGAATAGGGGGTTAGAAAGCACTTCCTCCGCTGAGATAACCCAGAAATAGAGTTCGTATTTGGTGCAGCAAACCATGTCTTCTTTTCCAATCTTTTGGGCACTTTTACGAGTCTACTTAAGTTCTTGATCACAGGGAGGCCTGCTGTGGCTTTGGCTCCCAGATCACCAAGTAAGCAATCTGATGGGATTTCTTAGCTGGGAAATCAGCGTGTTGTTTTCCTTCTTTGCCCTTTCCCTTCTCTGCCCTTTCCTTTCCAATCTTTTCTTCCTTCTTTTCTTTCCTTTTCCTTTTCCTTTTTTGTATATGTTTGTCCTGGGGCTTAAACTCAGGGCCTGGGTGCTGTACCTGAGCTTTTGTACTACCACTTGAGCTATAGCGCTACTTCTGGCTTTTTGTGGTTAATTGGAGATAAGAGTTTCTTGGACCAGGCTGACTTTGAACTATGAACCTCAGATTTCAGTCTCCTAAATAGCTCGGATTACAAGCGTGAGCCAGCAACACCCAGCTGATTTCTTTTTCGTTTATTTATTTTTATATTTTACTTGCAGTTTTTTTTTTTTAATTTCAGGAGTCTCTTCAGGGATGTGATTTTTTTTTTTTTTTGGTCGGTTGTGGGGCTTGAACTCTGAGTGTGGGCGCTGTCCCTGAGCTCTTCAGTTCAAGGCGAGCACTCTACTGCTTGAGCCACAGTGCCACTTCCAGTTTTCTAGTGGTTTTTTGGAGATAAGAGTCTCACAGAGTTTCCTGCCCAGGCTGGCTTTGAACCACGGTCCTCAGATCTCAGCCTTCTGAGTAGCTAGGATTATAGGCGTGAGCCACCAGAGCCTGGCAGGGATGTAATTTTTTTGTGTGATTTTTATTTCAGTGGACTTTTTATAGAGCATAATTGGTTTATTGTTGCTAAAAGCTAGCTAATGTGTAATCTTTTTTTTTTTCAGCAGTTGGGTTTAAACTCAGGATCTTATAAGTACTCTACCACTTGAGCTGAACACTGCTACCATTTTTGTTTTTGTTTTTTGCTTTAGTTTGTCTTTTCAATATGGTGTCGTGTTTGTTTTGCCCAAGTTGGCCTCAAACAACTATTTTCCTGTTTCTACCTCTGGAGCAACTGGGGTTAACCTTTCCTTTGTGTCACATTTAGTTAAAACACAGCATTGGGAACCTTAAAGATATTATGCTGGGCTGGGAAGGTGGCTCAGTGGTAGAGCGCTTGACTTGCATGCATGAGGCCCTGGGTTCAATTCCTCAGCACCACATAAGCAAAAAGAAAAAAGCCGGAAGTGGCGCTGTGACTCAAGTGATAGAGCGCTAGCCTTGAGCTGAAGAGCCGAGGGATAGAACCCGGGCCCAGAGTTCAGGCCCCACGAACTGACCCCCCCCCCAAAAAAAATATATTATGCCAAGGCAGACTTAGGCAGGTGTATTTGTCATAATTTGAGTAACCTAAATCACAATAGTATGCAGGGGTGACTCCTTTCTCCTCTCTTTTTCTGAATACTGCTAATGTTTGATGCTGGGTTAGACACATGTTTCATATAGGACTGAGTTAAAAAAAATTAGCCCTTTGGATAGTACAGTAATGATAGTAACGATATGAAAGTGCAGTATATGGTAAGGATTAAATTAGACAACAGAAGTAATTTGTACGGTACCTGCCTGAAGGCCAGTGAATGCCAGCTATTATTATTACCCAGATGTGTTAGTTACAGCTCAGAGGCCACATGTCAAAAGCTGGGTATTGTCATAAAGAAGCATTGGTCCAGTCATCTGTGACTAGAAATGACACACACAAGGGGAATAACAACTGTTTGAGAGATACTTTCTTTAAAATGTTACCTGTTGTGAAAAACAAGATCTAGCTGATTGTTCTGTGTAACCAAATGAGGGACCTTCAAAAACTGCTGTAGGTAGCTTGAGAACTTCCCGAAGGAACTGGTCATACCGCCCATAAACCATCACACCACTGGAGTCAGAAATCATTGAGAAAATATCTAAGAGAAGGGAAAGAATGAAGACATTTGTTTGTCACTTGAACATTCTATAGTTTCAGTATAACATATCTGCTGCAAATAAGAAATGTGACAGAATAGATACGATTTTTTTGTGAAAGAATAATAGGAAAGCTAATTTTTATATTGAAACATTCATAACATGGCACTTTCTCTAGTATCTTTTTTTGTAGATGATTTTAACACATAGTACATTGGGTAAAATTGGGTGATTTTAGCACATAGCACATTGGGTAAAATTAACATATTTTGATAAGACAGAAAACATTATGCTTTTGCTCTGAGGTCAAATGATCAACTCATACATAGCTTAATTGTTAATTTTGATGCCATTTGAATAGACACTAGAGAATTTCATTGCAAAGGGAGAGAGAGAGTGAGAGCGAGTGAGAGAGTGTGTGTGTGTATCTGTGAAGCTGATTAGCAAGTGGAACATCTATATTATTACTAAAACTATTGTGTTTTGATTTCTGGTATTTACAAAGGGAAAGATTCAGTAGGGATAAAGTTGTCATAAAAACACTTGATTAACTTCCCACAGAAGCATGAAACTTTCCATAAATCAGTGTTCAGGGCATAAACATTTGATTTATGAGGAAGGATCTTCAGACATGTGTGGTGAAGAGGAAGCTTGGCCTTGTGGGTAATCAATGAAGTAAAGTCACGGTTGAATTATTCTCCAAAGTGTTCTTCGATTCACTGAATCTCTGACCTTCCATTTCTGTCCTTAATCAATGTTAATGGCATCATTTCCCAAGATGCTTCGTGATGCTCTTTGGAAATAACTATTAAAATGAAAGGATTTGTTATTGGTTTAGCCAGATTGCTGTTTGTCCAACACAACAACTGGTATCATCTCTCAGTAAGAATAATGTGCTACCTTTGCTCATTTGGGGGTTCACTTTTTTTTTTTTTTTGGTCGTGGGGCTTGAGCTCTGGGTCTGGACACTATCCTTCAGCTCTTCAGCTTAAGGCAAGTGCTCTACCACTTGAGCCACAGTGCCACTTCTGGTTTTCTGAATGGTTTATTGGAGATAAGAATCTCATGGAGTTTCCTGCCTGGGCTGGCTTTGAACCACGATCCTCAGATCTCAGCCTTTTGAGTAGCTAAGATTACAGGCGTCTGCCACCAATGCCTAGCGGAGTTCACTTTTTAAGGTCAAAATGTAATTGAAGATGCTGCTATCTAAACTAAAAAAAAATATTTCTCTGGTCCACTTTAGCAATGTTATTTATTTCATGAACATGAAAGCTAGTTAAAAAATAGACAAAAAAAGAAGTTATCAGTAGCAAAATCTATTGTATAATCTCAGAGATAAAACTGAAGAATCACAAGAGAGAAAAAAAGAAACCTCAGCAAAGGGAACTTTTTTAAAATTTAATTTTATTGTCAAGGTAATGTACAAAGGTGTTATGGTTACATATGCAAGATAGGGAGTACATTTCTTGCTAAACTTATTATTCCCTCCCTCATTTATCTCCCACTTTCCCTTCCCCCCAACCTCCTCCCACCAATGTATAGTTAATTACCAGCATATTGTCTTAGAGTATCACTGTTTCCTTGGTTTACCCATCCTTTGTCTCACCATTTTGTTGGGAACTAACTTTTTTTTTTTTAATGAGAGCTGCCATCTTGTTTGCTTTTTTGGCAGGATGGCTGGTTATAATAAGGTCACCCAGACTATCTTCTAAGCATTACTTTTTCCATCCAAGCCACATTCCCAAACAGGAGCTGGTAAAAAGATTTTGGCAACATCTCTAATTTGTATAAGTAATTCCAATGGTAATCTTCCACACAGTTGAAGCTAATTTTAACTTCTTTTGTGTTGAGGAAGGACTGCTAAGCAATAGACAAAAAAGGGCTGCACCACTGAGATTAACTGGAAGTGGCTGTTAAAAGCCACATTTTCAAAAGAAATGATAAAAAGATGATGTGTTTGTACGTGTATAATATGCTTGCAATATAGATGGGTATGTGTATGCATATGTGTGTGCATGTGTATGTGTGTGTATAGTAGAGGATGATCTCAAAGGTTAAATTAGTTACTAGAAGTAAAATACTCAGAATGATCGTGGGCATACAGAGTATAGTATAGACACTTTAGATATTTATTATTAATTTCATATTACTATTAGTCTGTTAGTGATTTAGGCTTTCCTTCCCTAATGGAGTTTTTCTATAGGGTTCTAAATCATTTTCTAAACCTACAGAAGTATACAATGGTAGATACTTTATTCAGTGATGACTAATCTGGCATGCACTAAATGAAACTATGCTAAGCAATAAGTGCATAGGAAAACAAGGGTATTATTCTTGTCCTCTGCAGGCTTCCAGGTACTGAGGGTAAAAGTCTGGGTGTGGATAGAGCACGATAACATCCTGGTTTGAGTGCCAGATGAGTTGGATAGATAGGGTACAGCAAGAACACAGAGAAGATTACTGAGGAGAGAGGAGTGAGTCAGGACCAAGTGTAAAGGCCATGAGGGAACAGCAAAGGTGAAGGGAGCAGGCCTTACAATAGACCAGGCAAAAAGTAGAGTGCTAAGGATAATAAACTGGAGGATCTTCAAGTAGTGCACTGTGGCAAGGATCTATGGGGCATACCAGGGCCTGCTAGGAAGTGAAGCTGAAATACGAAGAGCTTTCAAAACTCTGCTAAAGAGTTTAGATTAAATCTGGAGGTTGATAAGGAACTGAGGAGGGAGAATTGAAAGCATGCCAGTGAGTTAGAAATACTGTCCTGGAGGTAATCAGGGAGGCACTCCAGCCAGTTTAGTTACAGAAACTCAGTAAGTCGTGTTTGCTGTAATAGGAGGCTTTTAACAAGGGAAGACAATTCCTCCCATTGGCCATAGAACAGCACAGGACACTGGAGGCTTACAGCAGTGTTCATTATTGGATCTCAGTAAGACCTTGAGGACTACCCAAGAATCCCAAGACAGAGGTTTAAAACAAGTATTCCAATCCATTAAAGTAGTAGTTCCTAATCAGTTGGAAAAGAATTAAACAGAAAAGGAGTGCATTAGGCCATTTCTGTTTAAGTGGACAAGTCAGAGGCCTCCAGGGGGCACCAATTTCCCCATAAGCTGGGTCAAGGATGCCCCAAAAAGCTATCCAGTAAAGTAGTTGTCCCTTTCATAAATTTATTTTAAAGCATTAAAATATCAACTTTGACTTTTCTGTTTTTTGCTTTTAAAAATTTCAGCCAATTATTCTTGCTGAGATTCTCTCTGCTCTGTTCTCTCCAACAAAAAAAGAGGCTAGTTAGAACAAATTAAATATCCTTCATCCGTAAGCACAAAACTAGAGGAAAAAAAACTATGCCAAATAAGCACATCTGACTTAAAGTGAATTAAAATTTTTTTTATGTAAGGGAAAATAAAACTATCAAACCTTGAAATATTCCATATCCTTTCATTTTCCTTGTTCTTATTATAAAAGTAATGCAGAAAATCATGACCTTGCCTGTCTGATTATTGAAACGAAGGCCAGCAAAAAGAACACAATTGAAAATACCCACAATCCCTCTTACCAAGAGGCAGCGCCTGCTGTCTGTGAGTGGATTTGTCCCATAGTTGTTCATCCCGTCAATCATTACCATTCAAACTAGAAATATTGGTGGTGAAGGATATTCATTTTTAACAAATTGACCTTTTGTTGAGATTCCCCAAGCCAAACTGATTTCAGTTATTACTTGTGGTTAAATTGCTTTCAACCAAGTTACCCGGAAGCCACTAAAGCCAGCTTTCTGGGACAATCTATGTGAAGGTAGTCGTTCAGTCAGAGAATTAGGGACATGTAATTTAGGTCTGCTTCTACCAGAGAGAGGAACATGCTGTATCAGGATCATATCACTGGTATGGAATTTGTCAGACGGAGATCTTTGTCTCTCTCCAGTAGGGTTTTGTCCTGGTTGCTTCCATTGCAGTCCTGCAGATGACTGACTGGCTTGGCCCATGGAGAGCAGGTCTGCTTTGCCCATTGGGTGCTTTTAGAGAAAACTCTAGAGCAGTTACACTGTTTCCTTTGAACCCCTGGACTTCTAGGAGGACTGTGGAGGTTCTGATAAGGGGTAAAGATCTGCTCACAATCACCTTGAACTTCTGTAACTGTGTCAGCATTGTTAGTTGCTTGCCTAACAACATTTCCCTTTGTTTTGGCCCCACCTTTGTTCCTGGAGTAGAGGAAGAGTCTAGGACATGGAAGGGGCTTACACAGGCCTGCTGTGGTCAGTCATGCCTTTCTTCCTCCCAGTAACTATTTTCATCATTGGTCCAAACTAGGTAAGTGGTCTTAGAGGAGAATGATATGAAAGCTTTGGAAGTTCTGGGCTGTCCAGACCCAGGATCCAGGAGATGGATGACTTCTGATCAGAGGAAGGATAAGAACCTGGTCTCCCTGAGCTTATCTGCTATGTGAAAGGCTTGGAGAGGGTCTCACGCTTAGAAGACTGGTTTTCTTAAAATCTGTTTTCATCCCATTTCTTTTAATAGTAAGAACTCTCTTACTGAATAGTAGGGATGCTCCTATTAATATAATAGTGCAAACATACACTATGGAAATGTTTCTTTTTTTCATGTTTATCTATGTCCTCCAGGGTTTCTTGCTCTGATCTACTTCATTATGGGGAAAGTTCTCTGCCCAGCCTAAGTGAAGACAGTGACTCCTGATTCAATCCAAAGCTACTTTGTTAACAACAACAACAACAACAACAAACCTTTGGTTCCAGCACCTTCTAATTTAGTTATTTTTTTCAATTAAGCACTCAGGTAGATAGGTTTATCCCTCCCTCCCTTCCCCCCTCTCTCCTTCCCTTCTCTCCTTCCCTTCTCTCCTTCCCTTCCCTTCCTTCCTTCTTTCCTCTCTTCTTCCTTCCTTCCTTCCTTCCTTCCTTCCTTCCTTCCTTCCTTCCTTCACATTTAAACACAGACACAATTCACCTTATCACTGGACAGTCTGAACTGTCATTGGAACCACAAGTACTAACATCTCAACATCTTCCTTCCTTCCTTCCTTCCTTCCTTCCTTCCTTCCTTCCTTCCTTCCTTCCTTCCTTCCTTCCATCTTTCCTTCTTTAGTGCCCAAGGCTAGCCCTCTACCACTTGAACCTCAGCTCTACTTTCTGGCTGTGTGTATGTGTTTCTTAATAGATACACATTAATGAGATAAGAGTCTCATGGACTTTCCTGCCCTGGCTAACTTTGAATCTTGATCCTCAGATCTTAGCCTCCTTAGTAGCTAGGATTACAGGTATAAGCCACTGGCGTACAGCTCAGTTTTTATTTTCTGTTATCTTGCAGGTAGACCAGAGATGACTAAAATGTAGCTTCATAAGGTCTGGTTGGGTTCTATGAATCTTCACTCTTACATGACAGGAAATCTCTGGAAGTGAAGGGATGACCAGGGCCTTGTAGTCCCTTCCCTATATCTATTAGGCCAATGAGAAAACTCTTCCTTGCAGCAGGGAAAATTTCAAAGAAGCAGACTTTTCTTTTTATTCTCTGTTATCCTCTTGACATAATGAAGAGGTTATACTCAGAAGTTAACAGGCAACAGGGGAAAAAAAGAGGCTCCTGGCTGTGAATCAGAGATTGCAGCTAGGAGGGACACGACAAGTATTTAATAAAACCCCCAAAGTTAGTATATATAAAGAAACTTTCAACTCAAGAAACAGCCTACAACATGTCTGCACCCTTTCTAGCACAGCATTACAACCCCAAAGCATAATGTGTAGGGTAAGGGAAAGGGCTAAATGAATTGAGACATTTGTTTTAAAGAATAACATCAACATCATTTTAAGTTAGCTAAAAAATGAAAGTTCTTGCTCCCTACTCTTTCTCTAGGTCTACTGAACAGAGATTCTGCCAGTGGAGCCTACAGCTCTAGGTGTTTTCAAAAGCCCACCAGGTGATTTTGATGCATTCTAAAGTGTGGGGAAAATCAATGTGGGAAAAAAATCAGTGTTCAAATCTTGGTACAGCTGTGTTATTTGCTTTAACAGGTAGGCCTCAGATTTCTTTTACCTAAAACAACCTACCAACCACTACTACCACGAAAAAAACCCCGTTAATGTGTCTTTGGTTAACAGACTGTACCACATATGGTGATAAAATGTACATAAACGACCACAATCACTCAGTATTATTTAGTTGTCATGTTTGTACTGGCATCCAGTTAATTCTGTCTACAGGTCTCTCTGTATTCCTGTGCCTATTTTCTGGCCATGTCAGATTTGGAATCTTTAGGGTTCCCAGTGATTGAGTAGCATTGACTGAGAAGAAAGAGGAAATAGGTCTGGAGCTTTGATTTTACAGTACTTAGAGGGAGAGAGACATCTGGCCAATTAGACTCAAATCTATACTGCTGGATTTCTTGTAAAGAAGTACAGTGTAATACCTAAAGGAATGTTTGTCTGGCTTAAATATGGCAAAGAACTTAGTTGGAGATGCTCAACAAGTTATAAATAATAATAATAATACATAAACATTGGGAAAACATGAGCTTCTTTAACATTTTCCTAATAGGAAAAAATGTCTATAACAAAATCCAAAGATCAAAGAAGAATGTATTTCAAACAGCTCTCACAGAATGAGGAAAGACACATAGGCAGGAGAACACGGCAGAAAGAAGGTAGAGGAAATGTGGTGTACAAGAAAGATATGCAAAGAAAGATCCAAGGAATAAAAACTTACATCTTAATTTGTCCATGATCTTCCCTCCACACAACGTGGCTAAAGCCATTTTGACAGCAAATACGGAAATTTTTCCATGGCCTTCCCTGTGTAATGATAATAAAAAAGAAAACATAATGTCATTTGGAGAAGTTTCGATAATGAAGCTTGACAGTTTCTATTGTGAAGCAATCAGAAGATATGTGGTACTATGCATTAGGTGAATACATCCATTTTAGAAAATGTATGATTACATATGCATTTCTGAATGACTGTCTATTCAGTGTTCCTTTTCAAGAGGCATCAGAATTTCCCCAATTATCTTCCATATATGTCACTTACTCAACACATGGGTTAACAATCAGAAGGACACACATCAGTTAACTATGGATTTAAATAGCAGAACATTTCCCCTCCTTTGGTTTCATAAAATAATTTTGTACATGATGAGTGCAGTCTCTACAATTTACTTAAACAGGCTTTAGAAACTTCAGAATTATTTCTTAGAACAACTGTTAAATCGGAAGGTAGGGTAACTATGGGAACTTGCTTCTCGTATACTTTATTCAACTATCATTTCCTACCCAAGACAACCATGTTTATGTGATGCAGTTATTGTTTTCAAAGAGAGGTGGTATTATTAAAAGATGAAAGTAGAGCTTTAGTTGAATAGTTCCACTTCTAACCAAATTGATACAAATACATTAAATATTCACTGATTTAGGAAGCATAATGAATGTGTCCATTACAAAATGTTCCAGAAAAGGCATACTATAGTAAGTATAATGTTTCAGCAAAATTGCTTTCTAGCCAGAATAAACTGTTTATTCATATACTCTTGGAAATAGAAAGAATATTGTGTTATTAATTCATTGCTTTGATAGTTGCTATTTTGAATGATCAAGAGAGTTTTAAATAATGCAGTTAGAAGGTAAATAACATCTGTAATGACAAGGCCTGAGTGTACAGAATAAATAATGTATATGAATAAGAGTTCTGTGATTGCTATATTAGAAGAAGGGGATATAATAACTAAATAGTATATAGAATAAATCATTTATCTGAATAAGATTCCTGTGATTGATATATTAGGAGAATGAGATAGAATAAATAATCCATATTAGAATTCAGAGATGAATCATTGTTATTTGTCTTTGCTGCTGTATGTGAAATATAGTTAGCCAGAATACAATGTTTCTAAACTTGAGCACCACTCCTAGGTACTTGCTTATTGGAAATGTCCATGTGGATAGCTTACGCTGAACCCAGTGAACTCATGTTCACAGGGTGCTTTCAAAGAGTACAGGTCAACCCTAATCCTAACTGCTTTTCCTCGCCTACCCTTCTAGTTTTTAGAACCACCATGTATCTAGCTGCTTTAAAACAAATCCTGGATCAGGGTTCACTCTTGATACCCTGTTCTCTGATTTGCTACCATTCTGAACATAGCTACCTCTTAGCTGTGCATTAAATCTATTTCTTCCTGTCCACTTCCAGTGTTGTTGTTCCCATCTACCCTCAGATCTACACATTCATAACCTCCAAAATGATGTCTCTGCTTTCTTACTCAGAACACAAATTTGATCACAGGATTCCATCATTTAAAACCCATACTGCCTCCTTTTGCCCACAGGAAGCAGTCTACCTTTTTTTCTCATGGCATACCTAACCTTCTCCTCCAGCCTCTAAAGCTACCATTTGTTGTTGCACTACACACCACAGTCACAGTGTTCAGTCCCTCCTGGTGCCTGGTCTCCCCACTACATCTTCCCAGAATCCCTTAATCTACTCGTTAGGACACTGATTACTTCCATTCCTCACATGACTCTCTTGAATAGGGAGAGACACTCTCTCCCTCACTTTTACCTATTCTATGATACTTACTTGTATTTACATGATATGTACATGTTTGAATGTGATTTGCCTCCACATTGAGACGCTTGGGGACTGGGGGAAAGAAGAGATTGTTCTTCTGAATTCCCAATGCCCAATTTTTATCTCACACTTTGTGAACCATATATTTCTTATATGAATGAATGACTATTAATCATTATAGTAGCTACCCCTGGAATTTTGAAGGCCTATTCATTAAGTGGTTTACTAACTTTGAAGCAAGAGACTGCAATAAAAATTCAATGGTTTTCGAAAAGCTACCTTAGTCAAAATTATTCTGCATCCTGTGAATTCCTAATTTCAGAGATTGCTGGAGGTTTCAGACTTATTACTCCAAGAAATAATCAGTTCATTTTCGTAACTGGGAACTTGGTTAAAACAGTAAGAACTGGGAAGTATCATTGAATGGAGCTTAGGGGAAATACAGCAATAGGTAGATTTCAAAATGCGAAGACATCAAGGAGCATTATCTATGAGACTGAGAGCACCATACAAGGTCCTTTCAACAAATCAGAGAGAACAATTTAACTCAAGGGAGAGGACTGAGCACAGATGAGGTTGGAATGGAGAGTTCTCCCAAGGATGGAAGGCTGATAGGCCATGAGCGAGTTCTTAAACCTTAGCTTTTAATGAAGAGGATTATACGAAGATTGCAATCCTATCTTTTTCCTAGACAGGGAAGACGGATGATATTAAATCAAGTGCCATTGTATCAGAGCTGTTCTGCCAAATTGATACAATAAATCTAGATAAATCACCAAGTGGAGGGTAGCTGAGTGAGAATTTGCAGGAACTCAAGGGTGAAATTAGGCCCCTGGAATCTAGTTATGCAGGCTAGCATGCCAGGTTGCAAATGTGACCCCTGTCAGGAAGTAGAACTCACTGTCAGCAGGGACTTAAATGCTTCCAATGATTCTCCTTGGGTTCAGACCCTGGAACCCCAGGCATGGGATAAATCTTTAATGAGGGATTGATACTATCAGCTCTACAGTGGAATGCAGACATATAAGATGTAAATACAAATGGATTTCCTTTCCCTCCTAAGGTATATTTTCAGTAGATCTAACAGGATGGAACAAAGGAAGGGAAAAATATTCAAAAGACCTTTGGCCGGATTTTATCTCAAAGACCATTACTTAAATGAAATGTCACTTTGAGACATTTATGTTTCTGTGAATAAAAATTGGCATTTGACACAGGAACAAGGATAGAGTGATATTGGTACACCCTGAATGGAGAGATGTAAGAACTATGTTCACCATAAGTCATTCATTGGAACCAAGTCTGATTTATGAGCCATCAGGGAAAATCTGTTAGGTGTCTGTAAATGGCAAGATTTAAACGCAGGAGGATGGGGACTAGGAACTTTTGTGCACAAGAACAAGAAAGTAGCATGCTGTCCCAAAATAAATACGCATGTGCACATCAGTGCCCCCTCCCACCAGATGAGGGGAGTGCACCGGTGAGGGAGGTCAATCACAACTCAGGAAGCTGACCCAGAGATTTATCCCTAATGCTGAAGGCCTGACGGCCTGAGAGCAGGGCAATGCCTTTTGTAATGCCTTTTGCTTTTCTGAAAAACCATGGCAGCACACCTTCAGGTTCAATACCACCTTGTAAGACAGAACAAGGCCAGACGCGCTTGCCAGTACAGTACGCACCCGGCCCACCCACGAGAACCACAGACCTTGACGTCAGTAATGAATACACAGCCACATGGGCTTTTCTTTGTGAATTAAAACTGCTAGTACAGTTGGTTCTTTAGCAGTGTAAAAGGCATCATGAAAGCTTTAAAAAGAAATTTACAACTAGCACATCATTAGTGTGTGTGTATGTGTGTGTGTGTGTGTGTGTGTGTGTGTGTGTGTGTGTGTACGCGTGCTGATCCTGGGGTTTGAACTCACGGCCTGAGCACTGTCCTTGAGCTTCTTTTGCTTAAGACTACTGCTCTACTGCTTGAGCCACAACACCATTTCTGGCTTTTTTGGCGGGGGGGAGGGAGAGTAATTATTCAGGGATAAGAGTCTCATGGATTTTTCTGCTTAGGCTAGCTTCGAACTGCCATCTTCAGATCTCAGCTTCCTGAGTAGCCAGGATTACAGGTGCAAGCCCCCAGTGCCTGGATGTAGCATGCTATTTTTATGAAAATAATTTATTTAAAAAATAAAACTTACTTATCAATGTAGAAAGAAGGCACAACGCATAATGCATAATTCACTCATCTTCTCCACTCTTGTTTCCTGGTGTAATGGAATGTGTTCTGGTTTTAAGTCAATTATCCTTGAACAAAATTTACTATTCCCACTTGATATCCAGAAAAATCCAATTAAGTTGTTCAGTGGTATTTGATTAACACTCAATAAGATATTTCAAAGAACCAGGTTAATCTAAGAAAATTATCTGATATAAACTGAAATTGCTTCAGAAATCAATTTTGAAAAAACATTTTACTTCTTTTTATTCTTTGTTGTTACACACTGGAACCTTGTCAGTTTTCCTAGTGGACCGCTGATCAGAAATGGAAAGAGGAACATGTTCATCCTTCACCTAGCATTCTCTCTCTCTCTCTCTCTCTCATCCATAGGTTGCATTAAAGGTTAACTTATAATAAAAAGTGAGTAACTTTTATTTGAATATGGTCTTTCCATGTCCTTACAAAGATTTTTGTCCACTTTTTAGGCAAAAGTTACCTGGGGGAAAATTCCACTTTTGACAGAAAGGAAAAAAAAAAAGTAGATAATAATTCCTGGACACCTGGGTTGAATTCAAAAGAGATGTATATTTTCTCAAGTTTCCAAAAAAGTTTGCTGTTTGAAATTGTAAACTCCCCTTAGATAAATTCCAGGTCCTCAAAGCAAGATTTAAATTCTGACTAATGTGTTTCTCCATTTCCTTCCCCTTTCCCATTTTATCTTTAGCAGTACTGGGGCTTGAACTCAAGGCCTTGTACTGCTACAGAAGTATTGTATCACTTAAGCTCCACCGCCAACATTTTCTTTTTTCTTTTCTTTTTTGCTTTTGCTATTTTTCAGATGGAGTCTTGCAGGCTCCTTCCTTTCTTCCTTCCTTTCTTCCTTCCTTCCTTCCTTTTTTGGAATGCAATTCTCCTACATCTACCTCCTATATAGCTGGGATTATAGATATGAGCCAACCCCAGCTTGTTTTGGTGAGCTAGGATTTTGATTTTTTTCATGGTCTGGACTCAAACTTCAAT